AGAAACGTGTTATTTCTTAAAACATGAAAGTTGTTGACTAGTAATTGCAGAAGAGCCATGGATTTCTGGTCAGCTTTGTTGAGCTCTGTTATAAACCCTTTGTTGCAGACTCTCTCTGTGGCTGTGTGAATGCATGCTAGATGTGAATACTTGTGTCTATCTGCATGCAGGTGCAGGCTCCAGTTTGTACAGATTTAATTATATAGGTATCTGGACAGGTGCATTTCTGTGGTTCTGTTCTACTGGGCTTTAGGACTGGGCCTTTAATGGACCCATTGCAGCTGTGATAATATGTGGTCCCAATTCCACACATAACATTATATTCACTTTAGGGAACAAAAACCATGGAGCCGGTTATGAAAAATGAGAAGATGGGAGGGAAAGAATCCTGAAAATCTTTTTGACATTTCCTATTTTTAAAATGACTCTTTTTGACTATTTTGCTGCCAGCTCTAGTGTCCTGTAGCAAATAAAACCTGAATTTCACACAACACACCTATGCAAACAATAGATCTGCCTGTGTGGGCCTTCCCGTGAGTGTCTCTACTGGGGCTGGCAGGCTCCCTCTCTACTGCGCTGTGGACATACCCTCAAGGGTCTCTCGTCCAAGCGGGGTCAGTCTGGCAGAGTCTAAACACAGACATCCTCCTGGCCGCCAGCACAGAGGATTTCGAGAGTCCGTGCTGAGGGGCTGGGTCAGCCCTTCCTGTGGCGCGACCTGAGGGAGGTTGCTGAGAAGATGGCTGACTCCATGGACCACACTGGAGAAGCCACAGAACTGAGTCGTCTTTGGCACCATGGGCCTCACTGACCCATAAAACCACAGACACTCAGGCCACAGTTGTTCCCTTTAAGGAGTGCCCCGTTAAGGAGGGTCTCTGCTACAAACTTAATAGAGCCTGAGGAAATATTTATTTTCCAGGTAAATTCCATGGGGCTGAAAGAAGACACAGTGTGCTCTTCCCAGGGTGTGAATGATAGCTCCCTCCCAGACCCTGCTGCTCCCTCCAGACCCTGCAGAGACCCCTCAGTGTGGTCACTGGGGTGGGGCTGCTGACATAGATCCAGCTGATACCCTTCTTGTACCCAGGAAGGGTGAAATCTGAGAGTGGAGGGGCCCTTCTGTGCACAAATATCATGGCATCATTTAATCCCTCAAAAACAATGTAGCGACCGTAGCAGAATTAACGGTAACTTCCTTTGAAACAACAAAGGCAAAGAGGATTAAAAATATTCAAGTATCTTTAAAAACGTCCCAGTCCTTCTCACTTCCTGCCAGGATTAGAACAGCAAGCGTAAAAATGCAATCAAAGATGAGCCATTCTCAAGATATGTTTGGCATGGCAGAGATGAGGCATTCTGGCCATTGTGTGCAATGGTCTGATTTGCAGTGTTCTCCAGCCCGCTTTCCAAGCCAAAGTGTCTGTAAAATATGCCTGGTTTTCTGAGTCGAATATTCAAGAGGGACCAGGCTCAGTAATAATGCATGTCCAACATTCAACTTCTGCATATCTGGAGCAATTTTCCTGTACAAAGTTTTAATCTGCAGGTCTGTATTTATTTCACACTTTCCTGGCTTTGACTGTCGATGAGATGTGTGGATGGAAAACCTGTGTGATAAAGAATTTTACTTCACTGGATCTGAGGTTTCCAGTCAATGAACTATTATGTTTTCCAATACACCAGTGATTTTCTAGTTTTATACCACTACTCAGCATTTATATCAGTGTATCAAAGTGGAATTTGTCCCATTATCATCTATTGTTTAGATTTCTGATTTTATTATAAAAATGTATGCACGATTTTAAAAGAGTCATACAAAAATTATCTGTAGAGTCAAGGCTGTGTCATACTATGAAAACTGAATGAGAGAGGGAGATGTTGTGTTTTTAGGCACTCAAATCTAAGGATATAGAAGTTCAACGGGATATCTGTCAATTCCAGGCATGGAGAAAGTTAGGGAATTTTTTTTTTTTAATTCCTGAGATTAACTGAGTGTGATTTACTGATTGTACTGTTGGGCTTTTATTCAAGAACAGAAACAAGTGTACTATTGCCAACGTCACATAGTCAACATTTTGTGGATCATGTCCCACAAAAATCATGAGCTTTTGAATTTGGGTTCCTTTCCTCAGTCTTCTGGTGTTTGAGCTAACTTCTGGGCAAACATTTTTCCAGCTTCTGGGCAAACATTTTTTCTGATGTCTGTTTTATCATATAGAAAAAGGGCAGAATTTTCAAGCTTTTCTCTGCAATTATGAGGGCTCGAAACTTACTATTATTTAAAATGAAAGATAAAAAAAAGTTTTCCAATAAGGTGCAAGCTGGCCTTTAAAATGACCCTCCTCAATCCTGTATGGGTCATGGATGTGCTGTTGTAGGAAGGATCCATTTCTATGCTCACAAATGGGACCAGCATTTGCAAACTGCACCCTCATGACCCTCCTAGTGTCTGCACATCCAATGCACACATGTGAAATTCTGCCCTTTTTCTATATGATAAAACAGACATCAGAAAAAATGTTTGCCCAGAAGCTGGAAAAATGTTTGCCCAGAAGCTAGCTCACACAATACTTGCAGTGCCATGCGAGAGGCCAGATCTCCAATGTATTGGCCTGTCCATACAATTTGTGAAGCGGGAATTGTCAAAAAGTAACAAAAGCTGCAGCAGGGATGCATTGTGGATGAGTAGTATTCCCTGCAGAGAAAGGTGGCTGAATCACAACTACACTCTGGCCCTCAGGCATTAAAAGAAACTGAAGACAAGGGGTAGGATAAAAATATTGGGTACAGAGCAATGGTAGGCGTTCACTGGCTATATTCCTACTCTCCAAAGTTCTGAGAATCGCAGCCCCTTTTGCAAGCTGTGGAAGAGCTGACTTTCTTTCCAGGACAATGATAATGTATTAGGACTAGCTCAGTGAGTTTTCTGTCCATTAAGGAATATAGATGGGTTGGTCCCACCAGATTGCAAGTTTTTCAAGAGAGTAAGAACGAAGAGGTGTCATTTTCTAAAAACACAGATAAGTAGGCCTGGTAAAATACATTGGGCAGCATGAAAAACAAAGGAAAAAGCAACTCTAAGTAATGGTCAACACTGCTGGGATTCAGAATTATGAAATAGTTGAGGAGCCTGTGTTCTTTGCTTCTCAAGAGAAGCCTAATTTCATCGTGGGTTTTCATGGTCAGTTTTCATGGTCAATAACATGATGATGTTATTGCTGGAAATCTCAAAGCTGGCAAAATTCATTTTGTGCTTATAATTAGTGACGGAGCTATTGAGGACAGTAGTTGCCCCTGGGCGCCACGCTAGGGGGGTGTAAATTTAGTCCTTCTCCGCTCCCCATCATCCCTCGGTTCGCCTACTCCTCCTCTGCCTGCCGCTGCCCGCTGGAGCCTCCACCCCACCTCTCCACCTCCAGCTTGACCCTCCTCGATCTCCGCCGGCGGGCTAGTGTGTGCAGAGGCCCAGCTCCAAACCGGAGGAGGCAGGGGAAGACACAGTGTAAATTCCTCCCTCTCCTCCCAGGGTCAGGCTTAGCCATGTGCCAGGTTGGGGGCCTCGCCATGTGGCAGCAGCGGGGGACGTATGAGTGCAAATTTTGCCTTTGCCCCCATGTGCATAATACCCTCGCTACACCTCTGATTGAGGATAACCGTGATGTTGGCTTCTGCCGTTTCTTTGGCAGTCCCCTGGGAGATGACAGAGCCCAGTTAGTGTTAGGCGATTTGATTCGGAAACACATATAATGCTTTGGCTAACTGTATCGTGCCCTCCTCTATTGGCAGCTCCATATGGAAGATAAGAGCCTGCACACAGCTCTCAACTAAGGGAGTTGCTCCTTTAGCTTAAGTGGAAGAGCCCTGGGCTTTGGGCCTGAAGTGTCTGTCACTGTTGGTGACCCATAATGCTGGGGTTGTTACATGCCAAACTTAAAGATGCCGTAAGTGCTGTCCTCTGGATCCCAGCAGCATTTCCTGAAGGACACAGGTATTCCTTGGAGGTCCCCATTCCAAGCCCTCTGCCAGCCCAATCATGCTTTGCATGTAAGATCAGCTAGATGCTCAGCATAAAGCTACACATCAGTAGGAAAGAAAAGCCCATGGAAGTTTCATGTTGCAACATGAAGTTCTCGACCATGGTCAAGGTGGTCTTCCCCACTCATGCCATGTTTTGGCTTGGCACAGTTACTAACCAAACTTTGTCAGCAGCCAACAAGCAAGATTCTTCTGGCTATTAATGTGCATCAAGACAAACAACGAACACAGGATTCTGGAGCTAGTTCCAAAGTGCTAGCTAGTGCCGGACACTAGCATCATAGCAATGGGCTAGTATTGCGTGAGACTGGGGGTTGGGAAGACCATCGCATAATGAGGAAACACATATAATGCTTTGGCTAAATGTATTGCGCCCTCCTCTATTGGCCTCAAAAAAATGAGGTTTACAGGATCTGTCGAAAAAGAGTTTATTTTCAACAGATCTGTGTCTAGACTGCTGTTTTTTTCCCGAAAAAGTTCCGTTTAGAAAAAAAGCAGTGGCCATGTTTATGCTAATGAAGCACGGGATATTTAAATCCCTGCTTCATTAGCAATTTCGACATACCTAATCTACATCTCTTTGCCGACAGAGAGTTGTAGTCTAGACACAGCCTGGGGGAGGTGCAGAACCTAAGCGATGTAACTTCCTGCAATATTAACCCAGCTGCAGCTGCCATGGTAGACAGAGGGGATCCAGAAATGTAGAGCAGGTGCACCTTATGTCCAGGGTTGCAAATCTTAATCATGTAACTGATATTTCTGGACAATTTTGTAATAATAGCAATAATAAATGACAGTTTGTTAAAGGTGCAAATCCCTCTAATTTGGTTGCAAGTGGTGATCTTGGTGAGTAACTGAAATTAATGATCCTCAGGCATAATTACTTCAGCCTTAGAGAATTACTAGGCATGAAAATAATGAAAGAACAACCTTCGACCCCGGTCCTTCACCCTGTTCTCAGATCAGATCTGATTAGAACCTTTTGGAGCATTCCGAGCCATTAGAATCTGAATCTTTTCTCGTTCGGCATTCTCGCTGAGATCAGAACGGAAAGTGCCTAAATTGTTACAAATTCTTCTGGCTGGAAGCAGAAGAGACAGAAATCTTACAAGTGTGTCTTTTTTAGCCAAATGGCCTGTCCCGTTATGCACACCCTTTGGACAAGCATTTCAACATCTGGGAACTCATCAGCCCTGAATTGGAGAATTCAAATATTTCGAGGCTCATTTCTCAGGGCCACTGTTAATTTTGAAGTTGTGCTCCTTAGTAAGAACAATGGGTCAACACTGGATTTTCAGTTGTGTCAAGCAACATAGCTCTGCTGGCTTTAGCAATGCTACCCCAACCTATACCAGCTGAAGATCTGGAAGATTAAGTGACTGTATAACAAGACACCGAATTAAAGTATCAGAGGGGTAGCTGTGTTAGTCTGAATCTGCAAAAGCGGCGAGGAGTCCTGTGGCACCTTATAGACTAACCGAAGTGTTGGAACATATTGCCCCTCTGCTATATACATCAGCCAAACTGGACAGTCCCTACATAAAAGAATCAATGGACACAAATCAGATATTAGGAATGGCAATATACAAAAACCTGTAGGGGAACACTTCAATCTCCCTGGAAACACAATTGCAGATCTAAAGGTAGCCACCCTGCAGCAAAAAAACCTCAAGACCAGACTTCAAAGAGAAACTGCTGAGCTACAGTTCATCTTCAAGTTTGACACAATCAACTCAGGATTAAACAAAGACTGTGAATGGTTCGCTAACTACAAAAGCAGCTTCTCCTCTTGGTATTCACACCTCCATATCAGCTACTAGAAGTGGGCTTCATCATCCCTGACTGGATCCACCTCGTCATCTCTAGCCTGATTCTGGCCTGCATATTTATACCTGTCCCTGGAAATTTCCACTACCTGCATCTGACGAAGTGGGTCTTTGCCCACAAAAGCTTATGCTCCAACTCCTCGGTTAGTCTATAAGGCTGTGTCTAGACTACATGGCTCCGTCGACGGAGCCATGTAGATTAGAATTATAGGCAAAGGCAAATGAAGCTGCGATTTAAATGATCGCGGCTTCATTTAAATTTACATGGCTGCCGCGCTGAGC